AAAAAAAAAAAAAAAAGGCTAAATGATTGCATTTTATCTTTGAATTAATTGAGTGATGCTAGATTAAGACTGTGTAATATCACTTTAAGTTTACCATAATGATACCTGGTTTATGTTAAACAAATGATTCACCCAAAATCATTTACTCACCCTCACGTTGTTCCAAACATGTTTGATTTACTTTCTTCTGTGGAAAACAAAAGGCATAATTCTGAAGACAGAGGACAAAAAAAAAATACCATAAAAAGTAATTCATACAACTTGTCCACTCTGTCCATGGAAAATCTTGATATCACCCATAGCTTGCCTCAATAATTAAAGTTTATGAGAAGTAGCCATCCCCAAAATTGTGGATAATTTGTATTTTTTTGGAACTTTTAAATGAGTCTGTTGATCCGGTTCACAATATCGGCCTTGATGACTCAAAGAATCAGATCGATGTAGTTCTTGAGTTCAACTCAGTGACTCAATGATCAAATCAGTCTATCAGTGAATAATGACTTAAATTTCACGTCAACTATTCCATGAAAGGATAATGGCAGTACAGCTTTCAGCAGATTTAGCAGAATAAAGTCATTCTCAACAATGCTTTCTAATTTTCATTTCCAGGATGTTAAACCTGGAGATGTTCTGCAGAAAAAGAACATGTGGGAAATTATTGGAGAAGGTTCTGCAGCCGAGAGGCCGGGACTGGGAGGAAAGGTAAATATTCACATAAGAAATGTACTGATAAACCTCAAAATGATAAATATAGGTTGAGAATGAATCTCTTACTGAATGCCTCTCATGCTATTTCTTCTACTCAACTTTTATATTTGTAGGCCTCCTCCTCGGGTAAACGATGCAAGTTTGTTGTGACAGGCCATGGGAAATACGAGAAGATTTGATGGTGATCATTACAGCGTCTACCCGAATGAGTGAGAAAGTGAGACGCTTTCTTCTATTTTACATAACATATACCTAATTTAAAGCTAACAATAAAAATATGATTCTGTAAATAAAAATGCCTCCCCAAAAAACACAATGGGAACATGAACACATGCCTTCTTACAGACTAGCGGAGGCGTGCTAGGTAATGTTATCTAATATTAACTAGCTATCAGGCTAGTAAAAAACTAGCTACGTAGCAAGCTAGCTAAGATTAGTTTTAAAATGTTAAATGTTGTAGCGTTAGAGCATAAAATACGCTTACATTCTTTCTAGTGCCTTATGGGATGACTTCCATTTCCTCATAAGTACACACTGACACTAATGTACTTTTTTTTTAATGAGAGTCCTAAAAACTCATCTCACTAAATAAATGTCATTGTTCTAATTCAAAATGTTGTTGAAATAAGAATATTGCATAAAAACGTTATGTCTCAAGTAAACTTTGGAGAGGTAATATAATTCATTTTAAAATAGGCTATATCTGAAAACACTTGAAAATTATTTTACCTTTTGAAATCTTGCAGTCTGCAGGGTTTTCATACGCCTGTTTGATAATATATTGATACTATATTGCAAACAAATCACAGCAAGCTGCTATCACAATGCAAATGTTTTCATTCAATGGCATGAAAGTAGTCATACAAAATATCCTCTCTCAAAACAGGTATTTTATTAAAAAAATATATAAAATAACATTAAATCTAGTACAGTGCACCTTAGAATGCAAAGCAATTATACACATCAACATCAGTAAAGAGAACATTTTCTCAGTCTGACGGTTTCTGCAATAAAAGACCAACATGCAAAAAAAAACCAAGCCCACGAACTTAACATTACCTGAAATGAGAACATGCATGAGTTGACAATGAGCATTCGCTGTTATGTATTTAATCACATTGAAGCAACCATTTACTGTATATTTAAGGTTTGGAAAGCTCCATCAGTGAAAGCACTTTGTCAACACTGAGCACCAAGTAGGGCAGCAGAGCAGAGTGCACCATGCCTTGCTTTCGGTACTAATAAGGCTTAGTACAAATTTCCAAAACTTAGCATACTTACTGTATACATCTCGTTCTTATACTATCTCTTAATTCTTCCACATTTTACCAGTTCCACTTGCCCACCCATCTAAAACTCACACTCAATTGTCCCTACACCTTCAAAAACATACAATAGCAATTTGTCCCTCAACACCATGTTATCTTGTATAATATCATATTCTCACAAAGACTTTTTACGCCCCATTAAGCACCATAGAATACTGGCTGTAGAAAAATATTGCTAAGAAAAAGGTATGGTGTATTTTATTGTAATGTTAAAAAAGAATACAGTGAGGTAACTTAACATTTTAGATGCCTAAACCCTGCATATATTTTACATTTTCTTACCCAAAAACACTTTCTTGATTTTGTGTCTTGTGGCAGGCTGGAGTGATAATACTTATTTTTTTATAAAAATTATTGAAATTATCTTTTTTTTTTTTTTTTTGATGATGATGATGATGAAAATGTTCAGGGATGTAAGTTTTATCAAAATATTACCATATTTAACATGCTTATGAAAAATGTTGACATAAGCTTTGAAAGTCTTAAGCAATAAAGTCTTTAATTTAAAAGCTTCAAAACGATATGATTTTTTTTTTCTTTATTCAATATTCTAATTAGCTTAAATGGTTAATGCCAGTTGACAAGTGGGCAATACCTACTGCAAATAAGATATTGTGCATTTGACAGATCTTTTTTTTTTTTAGTTTACTTGCCAATTGACCTGTTATAAAGTAATAAAAATATATGTAAAGAATTGGACTGGATAATAAACAGAACTCTACCATCGCAATGAAAGCTAACAATATCCTTGCCCATTATTTCTATGTTATTCAGTTAGACGCCAGTGGTTTAAGAAATACTGAAGCCTTTGGCTGTTCTATTAAAGTCTTTTGGTTCTTCGTCTTTATTTTTGCGGCCTATGAGTCCCATTTCAAAAACTGTTGCAATCTTTGTTGCTGGTCGCGAAGCTGCCTCTCTTAGTCGTCTGGCATCAAACCGCGGGCTGTACAGGAGAATTGGCAAACAATGCGCAAATGAGGGAATCTCTTCTGACTTTTTCTGTTCTGCCTCCATCTTCTTTTGCTCCTCAGTTTTATTGGCTTCAATTTGTTGCATTATATTCTCTTTGGTGGAGAACATTTGGAAGAGGACAGCATCCCACATTTTTGCTGCCCTTGGGGAGTCTTTACTATCCTGGCTCTCACTAGACTTAGCTTCGGCTTCAGACTTATTTTGCATTTCACTTACATTTTGATCAGTGCTGGCAGGGATGTCTTTCTTTGACGCAGACTCTGCCTCTGGAAAATTGGGCTCCTCTGCTTCAACCACCATGTGTTTCTTAAGGCGAGACCAGCCACTGAGTTTTGACTTCATGCCTTTTGGTTTCTGCATCACCTTCAAGAGAGGCTCTGCAGTCAGGGAGTAGCCTTCCTCAGCCTCCTCCTTCTTTTCCACTGCAGGCTTGATCTCCTGTTGGGGACTAGATTTTGCCTTCACTCTGTCAACCTTTTCAGGTTCAGTGTCCTTTGTTTTAAGGTCCTTTTTGTCTTCTTTTGGTTTAGCCAGTGGCTTAACCACATCCTTAACCTCTCCTTTATCAGGAGTTTTTTCAGAAGAAGCGGCTTCAAGCTTCTGCTTCTTAATTCTCTCTAACAAAGACATTTTTGCCTCTGTTGGCTTCTCTGGTACTTTGGTTGTTTTGGCATTAACTTTACCTTCTGACACCTTTGGAAGTGCTGGCTTTCCCACATCTTGGTCAGATAATGGCACAGCCTTACTTTCAGGTTTTGGAGTTTCCTTCACAGTTGGAGGGGTTGGTATCATTTGGGAAATTCTGGGAGATCCATAGGTTGGAGTTCTGACTCTTGGTGTCACAGTACTTATTGGCTCTGCTTTTGCTTCTGATGGTGGTGTATCAGCTACAGATACCACAATAGTTGGAATTTTAACATCAGGAATTTTTGCTTTTAATTCCGGCACAGTTGGCTTGGGAATGTCCCTTACAGAGTTTGCTTCTGGCTCAGATGCTGCCTTTGGAACCTCTGGAAGTGGAGCCACCACAGCGGTTTCCTCTTTAACAACACCAGCCTGAGGTGGCTGGACTTCAACCTGCTCGTTAGGCTTTACCTCAGACTTGCCATTCGTCATGGTCACATTTACATCAGATTGAGGTACTACTGGTTCGTGTTTTGTAAGATGAGTTGCCTTTACACTTGGCAGCGCAGTTGATGTCGAAATGCTAAAAGTGGGTGTGCAACTCTTTATTCCTCCATGGGCAACATATTCAGCGGGAGTCAATCCATAATATGTTGGTTTGGATTTAGGTGCTGTTGGTGTTTTGGGTCTTTGACCTGCAAATGGAAGGACTCTAGATAAAGGTTTCTGATACCCAACTGAAGATAAGCCAGGCTGCGCAGGTTCAATCTTGGGTGTTGTTGGAGTTTCAGGCTTTGGCTGCTCATTTGCATTAAGGTTTGAGCTCTCCTTGGGTATTTGGGTCTTTGGCTTTGATGACTCAAGTTTTGACAGGTTTCCTGTGGCCTTATCCAGCTTTTCTTGTAAGGGTTCAGTTGATTTGACATCTACGTCCCCATTTTCTAATATTTTTGAATGATTAGTATCATTCAAATGATTTGAAATTTTATGCATTTCATCTTGTGGACCAGTCAAACTTGAGGTTGGCGTTTTGGATCTTCTGCCCTCCATGTGCACAGGAGATACAGCAAATAAAAGTGGATTTGGTCTTGAAATCTCAGTCACAGATACTCTAACACGTGACACATGATGTGAGGGTGTCTTGGGACGTCCTGAATGTGTTTTTATTGAAGTAAAGTCATATGTTGGTGTTTTTACTCTTGTTGGCATTGTAACCCCCTTCGTCTCGAGTGTTGGAGTTGCACCCCGTTTTGTCTCAGGTGTCGGCATTGCAGTTTTTTTAGTCTCTGAAGCTGGAGTACTGACCCTTTTTATTTCAGAAGATGGAATTGTCTCTTTCCTGACTTCAGAAGTTGGAGTTTGGCTTTTCTGAATTTCTGAAGTTGGGGTTGTAATCCTCTTGACTTCAAATGCCGTTGTTGTAACCCTTGTGATCTCTCTGGTTGGTGTTCTGTCTCTTCTTATTTCAGATGTTGGTGTCACTGTCCTTCTAACCTCAAATGTTGGTGTCGGGGCTCTCAATAAATCTGCAGTAGGTGTTTTACTCCTTGTTGGTGATGCATGAGGTGTTCTCAAACCTACTGATTTTGCTGTGTAATTGGTGATTTGAGGAACTTCAAACAACGGTTTTGCTTTTCTAGTGACATTCAGAATGGTTGGCTGAGGGCTTGGAGATTTAGAGGTTACATGAGTGGTAAGATTTGAGCTGACTTCCAATCTTTGTGAAGTTTGTAGAATAGTGACTGATGCAGTAGCATGTGTGTCAAGTCCTGGAACTGGTGAGGCGGTGTATGTAAATGCTGGAGACAGGTGTTGGGGAGCCGCATATGGTTGTGGTGGAAACCTTGCCGTCTTGCCATAAGTGAATCCTCTGTGATGAGGATAAGGAGACGATACATGCTGATACAGTGGTCGGACATTGAAGCGTGGGTGTACCGTGCCAATGTAGAAAGGTGTCTCTGGAGTCTTGGGAGGTGTTGAGTGATCACTGTGCTCCAGGTCAGGGCTCGCTTCATTTACTGGAGAGAGGCTTGAGCGGAAGGGGACCGATGGTTGTGAGGCCTGGGCTGCAGCTTTTTTCTTCGCTGTCTTCTTGAGTAGTTTCTGGAGCCGGACATTTTCTTTCCCAGGTTTGGGAAGCAAAGGTGGGGGGTACTGCTGGGAAAGCAGGCCTGCCTGAGCAGCATTGCCAACATTGACAGCCATTAAATCTTCAGCCCCTGAAAGAAAGAAATAACAGATATTGTGTACTTTGAACACAACAATAATGAATAATGATTGGTATGGCTAATAATGGTAAAAATGTGCAAACCCTTCCAAAATTAGGCATTGTAAACTAAATCAGCAAAAATGCTGTGTTCACTAATATTTTTTGTTTTCTCTTTTTCAGGTGAACTTCCCAGTGATCGCTTGTGAGGAATTTAATACAGCAATAACATCTTTCCTGATTCACCAAGAACAGATATACATTAACATATATGTAGTACAATATTTCAGTCAACTTTTCAAAACATAAGGAAGAAACAGTTACACTAAATTGTTACACTAAATTGTATGTGCTTTTATGTTTTTATTCTTTTATTATGATTGTTCAATTTTTGACTGTTCTAATGGCATGACGTTGGGACGTTTCCCTACAATCTATTTGTCGCATGTAAAAAGCAAACTTATTCTCAGAAATCTGACCAATTGCAACAGAATATAAAGTCTTAGTTTCTTTTTTTTCCCCCTCAGTATTTTCTGAAGTATTTGTGCTGAAATTATGCCCACTTATAACAATGTATGAACTGAATGTGAATGTCAAATAGATCAAATAGTGATGATTTTTGTCAACTGTTGTTATATTGATTATCTATGCTATTTTTATACTATGACACATTGTTACATTTATATAGACTTGAATAGTAGATTAACAGAATATTCCAAAAACATTTTCCAAATTCCTGCAGCTGATTCTTATGCATTTTAAGTCACAAATGTTTTTACTGTTATATTTTATTACAAATATGACATTGATTTTCTTGCCCCTCTGCTCTAGTTCTTCATAGTTTTGCATTATGCATAATTGACTACACTTTTTGGATTTCAAGAAAACACTGGACTTTCTCCATTTATCATATTTATAATATTAATCTAAACATGTTTGTTTAGTTACAAGCATTGTGCTACCCACTGGTATTGAGAATGGTTAAAACAAGAATGTCATTTGTAGGCCATTACAGCTTTTATTTTCAATAAATTTGATATTTTGTATGATTCTTAATTTAGATTTTGGCTGCTTATTCTCAATGTAAAATGGAAATATCAGAATGGTTTTCACTTGATAAGATGTCTCAGTTATGACATGTTCCCATGCAGTAAACTTCCACAACACATCTAGGATAGCTCATTGGCCTAATTTAAGGGTGAAAGCAAATGAGCAAGTCATCTGCTCCATGTCACAGAGTGTGGTGCCACTTTCCACCCTCACTGTAAACCAATGCCAAGAGATCTGGGGGCAGTAGCCATAGGTGGGGCAGCTACATAATAAATCACTGAAAATGTACTACCAATCAGATTCAGTGGTTTCTGTTGACGCACAACCTAAGATCATATATCACAGAGCTGCTTTTAAGTTTTTCAAACTGTACTGATGCGTACTGTATTGATATTTTTACTAAACTACCTTAACACATTGAGATAATAATTATCTTTATGACTGGACTATTCATAAATGATATTCATGAAACACTCGTGGACATTTCCTGGCTCATTTATGCAATAATAAAGATAATAATTATATATAAATGTTATGAATTAGTGGGTTTATAATTATTTTTGGAAAAGCATAAATATAAGAATAAATCTCACTAAATGTAGCTATATTTGTGCTTAAAATATATAAGAAAATATAAGAAAAAAAGCCATTGGGGAAAGAAAAACTGCATTCAGTATATATTCTCCTAAAACATGTTTTAGTATGGGAAATGTCTTATTGTAGGGATGTTTAGATATTTGACTACAAAATACAAAAACTGACTACAAATTAAATCCAGTTGACTTAGGAAATATTTTTTAAAGTATGAGATACTGAGCATAATTACTTATTTTGTGTCTGTATAACACAATCTTTTTGCAAAAGTGCACATGTGGGCCACATGTAAAAGCTTGTAAAAGAAGCCTCTAGCCCAGAGTGACACAAAGAAGAACCATATGAGAGGAGGTCGTCCTTTTAAGGCCCTGGTAGGCTGAGCAGTTTGGAGAATTTCCAAGATGCAAGTTCAAAAGAGGAAAGGGCAAGAATAGCAAAGCAGTAAAATCATGCACAGCATAATTGCTTCTTAGCAACCACCTGGTGAAAACAAAAATCATTGTACATGTAAAAATATGTGTTCTGTGGTGGTATGTACACTTATATGCATGTGCTTAAAAAAAGATAACTTACCAAGATATGATTGTAACAGAAGACAGTTGAAGACACTTCAGACAAGGTCCCCTGTAAATATAAACATGCATGATTTATCATACATGTCCTTGAAAATAAGCAACTGTATTTTAAATATAAAAGACCTAAAATATGGTGACATTTAAACAAATATTGGTATTATTAATCTCAGTTTAATACTGTTATTACAATCCCTGTTGCACAAATCTGTCAAGTTAGCCTGCAACAAACTGCTGAAGCCTTTTCACAAAGGACAGACATGGCATGCACTTCCACACTAGGCATTCAAATAATAATAACCGAAAGACAAAAATATCAAATTTCAAGCTATTTTTTTGTGGTTTTATACCTGTTTGCCTGCTGTTCAGGGGTGTGCGGTGGCTGCCTGCTTGTCCCAGCTTGGACTGTCAGAACGGGAGACTCATGTTGAGTTCAACTATTCCACTTCCTTCAAATGGAAGGCACAGGCTCCATAGCAGTCCAAAAATAAAACCCTGAGTCTGTTACTCAGAATGCATGGCGAGTGGTGACGGTGTAGAGGGAACCGTCAGCGAAGCAGGGGGGATCCAGGTCACCTTAGATATCATCAAGTGTCCCCCCTCCCCCATGACACCTGATGCACACACCCTCATCTACACAATCTATAAGCACAACGCCCCCTACAGTTAAGAAGAAGAAGTAGTTGTTTATTTTGGAGCTCTGTTGCGGGCCAACTTTTTAAAGTAGTTCACTTGTTGCTTGCAAGACACTTTCTTCAAATACACCAAACAGGATATTAAACAAGAAAAAATTAGAACAACATTTTTCTAACACTTATTTCATGTTGATTGCCAATGTTGCACCTGAACTCTGAGTATAGTTGTAGTGTAAATGAGCACTATGTGTGATTAAACGTAGTTGAAACTTAATCCTGTGAACTGGCTAAATATTTATGGAAGCTTCAGGCAAGAAGTAATGGTTGGAATAAAAAGCCATCTGATCTGATTACACCAAAGAGCTCATGTGTTAATTTACAAACATCAATCTTCCTGGCATATATGATGAAGCTGATATTGACACTTTTTACATTATAAAATAGAAAAGCATGAAACTCATCTAAATGGTATATGCGCATAATGTAACTGGTGAAATTCACCAATCTACTGTATGTAAAGTGGTGTAAGAGGTTTTACCAGCTACTGATTTATGTAAATGTATTATTTACATATTTGATTATACTGTTTATTATAATTAATAATTATGTATTGTTATTGCCAAGCTGGAATTGCTACAATTGGTATATCAATGAATTTACATCAACAACGGAGAACAGAGTTCAGAGTTACTAGGTTGCATCTAATTATTGAATGCCATTTAAATTCAATTACAGAAATGTATTCTCATATTAGTGACCTATAGACATTTACAATGAAAAAAGGAAACTGTATCTGTATGAAACATTTACACCAGTTGGAGTTACAGTACAACCCATATCATTTCACAAACAGTTTCATATCACTGAGGAGTTCCTAACACAACATATGTGGACTTGGGAGTGAGCCCTGGGGAACACCCCACAACTTTGTCTGAAGCATTTATCCATTATGTTGAAAATAACACCAAAAGGCAAGCTGATCACACTCACATTCATCTCATTCAGAAAATGTGTTCATTGTGCTTACATAGTTCCACAGCAAATGTAGCAACAGTGTCTCAGCTCACTCTTCCGAACTTATGCCTCTGTTACATTTCCTCAAACCCTTGTCCATCACCTTATTCAGTGCCTGGGCCAAGATCTGGACCTTCCCTTCTTTACCCTTCCCACTATGGAATCTCCACCAATGGGAGATTTTCACAGATCAAGTTTCACTATAACAGAAAGACTTTTTCATTACTGCATGTTTGCTGAACTTTACAACCAGTCTCCGCCAGCAGGGAGCTCACTTCTTTCAGCTTTTCTGAGGTAAGAGTGAAAGAGGGCACGAGTGTAATAAGTGAGGAAATTGTGAGGGCAGGAAAGCTTGTGCATAGTTGCGAGTGAGTTTAGACTAAGACAATTTGTGACAATGAATGTGTGAACTCATCATGTTTTACACAAACTTGTGGAGTTCATATAGCCTAATCCATTTAGTTTCATCAAAAGCTTATTCAATTACTGAAACCTTAAAGTTTACATATAAAATAAAGCTGGATATCTTTAAAATTACATTTACATTTAATTTATTTTAAGTTGCCTGAATGACATAATTTATTCATTAGATATTATTTAAATTTTCCATGTCCAAATATAGAAGAAAAAAAAACTTGAGCAGGAACTTGGAAACTGGAAAATGTTTGGGCCTATTACGTGCAGCTGTCTTGTCAAAGTCAAATTCTTTTTGACCTGAGATGTTTGTAGGGATTGCTCACATCCATTTTCTGAATATTATTCAGAAGTTACCAATTGATTGATTTTAAATTTCAATTAATCAAATCATAAAAAGATTTTTGTCGTATTTTGTAAAATCTGAGTCCTGCAATATAAAAAGAAATATTAGTTTTTGTCCACATTTTGTCCACTTAAGAAGATGTTCTAAAGGAAAGTGCCTGTCTTTTGATCTTTTCAACTCTCTTGAAAAGGCCATGAATCTCCCAGGCCACGTGGAATACAAACTTTCACATACATCTAAGCATGAGCAAGGGCATTTCTCATTTATCATGCGTCAGCCAGTTCACAGGTCAGCTAATAATAAGATTTGGTCAACGCTTAGCTAAAATTACTTTATACATCTTGTGAGAAACCGAAAAGTGAAAAGCATAGCAGACTACTATAAACAAAGATGTAATTGTTGCCTTAAAATGTAATACATATTCTGGTTTACGGTCAACATAACTTTGGAGTAAGTATTTGCACCCTACATTCCTGGTCCTCGTTTATATTGATTATTTCATTTGGCAAAAAACCCCATTAGTTCAGCATGAAGGAGCCAATGGGAAAGGAAAGAGATTGTTTCATGACAGTTTTATGAATCACTATATGTATTCATTAGACTCGTTGCAGTCTTGCTTTGAGGTTCTGATTTGTGCATCATTCTTTCATTTTCTTTTAGTCTCAAAGTCCACTATCACCATGTCAGACAGAGGAGGTGTAAGTATCATACTTCCAAGGAATTTCCTTCATTCTGTAGTCCAACTGAACTTTAAAACATGCTTTTCTATGCATATTGAATGGCATTTGTATGAAGTACACTATCAGGGCATAATCAGGCCTCTGTTTATTATTTGTTTTTTACAGCGAGCATTTTGAGGGTGAGTTTCCTTGTAAAATATTATTGCTTGAGCATTTATTTTATTTTAAACAATGTAAATATTTGTAATGTATCAGTTCACCATTTCTCCTTATGGTCATTGTGTAGGCATAAATGTAATAATTGTGCAATCTATGATACTGCTGCACTGGTGCTAAATCATTTCTAAAATGATCATTCCATGGATGAAACTTTCACGTGTTAGTAACAACTTGTATATGTAAAACATCCTGGTCTCCATCTTTGAGCTTTGATTTTTACATTCTATTTGATTGATTTTATTAAACAATAAGGTATATCAGTGGTATTTATATTATTTACACCGAATCTGCTTTCATCAACAATGTGAAGAACATTATCTTACGGACATAAAAAATATAAATAAATAAATGTGCAAATATATTTATGTGAAATAAATGTATAAATAAATACAATAAAACATAAATAAGGCAGGTATGTCTTTTAAAAAAAGTTTTTGTTGGTGGAAAAATGTCGTTGTTGGCAGATTCGGTCCCTTAGTATTATAGTTGCTAGTATCCATTCTGTTCTTGTTTTCTGTTCTCGTTTAATGCTTCCTGTCATTGAAGAGGAAGGTATGTTGATTACAGATGTATCCCACTTTATCATGTTGAAGGGACTGCTGTGTCCCTTGTTTCAGTTGTCTGCAGTCTCCTCCTAGTGGACAACATCTATATAGATTGGTGTCCCTTCTAGTCAAGAGTGGCATACTGGAGCAAGACCAAAAAAATCCTATAATCCAAAAATATATACAAACTAACCATAGTCCGTACAAATTTGGGCAATAATCTATCCAGAGATTAGGCTTTGAAATGAAATGGTTGAAAGAGTTTTTAA